TGGGGGGCGTCTTGTACATGGGGGCGTCTTATTGTCGGAAAAATACGGTAACCCACTTCACATATGAAGACTTTCTTCACATAAGAACTGTGTTATATTTCTGGATGTTTCTTTCCAGCTTTCTTATCTATGCTGTATATAATTTTTTCATCATAACTACCTGTAAGAGTATAATTCCACTTTTTATTGGAATTCCAAAAATGTATTAATGATCATGAAAAAAAATCTGAATTTATTCTTCTAAACTATGGCAAGCCTAATCTCATAAATGGCTACCATGAACATTTCATCCAATTTTAAATAAATAATGTCAGTTAAAATATAATGTGGAAAGCAATCAGATAACTTTTTAGTAACAACATAGATGGCAATTGAACTTGCTGCAGGACTACTCTGGTTGTATAAATGAATGAATAAATGTAAATTTAATTAAATGTAAATTTAAATGTAAATGAGAAAAAATATAATTTTAGTGCTACAACCTTCATATTTAGTAAGAATCAAGCCTGTTCCAAAGGCGAATACATTTAAAAATCCAAACTCAGCTAATATAAAGTTGTATTACTCTGTATCTTGCAGACAGTATTCTAGAGCACATGGAACTGGATGCAACATTCCAGCCATGCCTGCTCCTTATTGTGTTGTGCCTAGGACAGGAACTGCTATATTAAGCACAAGAACAAAAGATAAGCTGAGAATCAAGGAAATAATAGAACAATTTATGCAAGGAAATATTTTTGAGGTCATTTTGACCATATCTTTATCGAATAATTAACCCTATTATATTAATAAAATCTAATTCCAGAAATAATATTTGACCTGTGAAGTATTCTCAGGAAGTGAAATATATAATCTACCCTGTGTGTATTCAGCAACTCATATTATGATGATAAATCAAGAATATAGGATTCTAATACCAGACAATGAGGTATTCCATGGCAAATGACTAAATATGTTAAATGTACATTTAGAAAGGACATAGTACTACTAACTGGTGATTGGAATATAGAGTGTTGGATAGCAGTTAGCTTTATACAGCAGAAAGAATGTATTTTAAAAATGACATATGAGAGGAAAGCTTTCCTCCATTATGGCAAGAGAAAGGAAGTCAGGTAAGAACCTGGAATGCTCAGGTTGGAATCAGAAGAGAAAAAGAACTGAACTGAGAAAGGAAAGAAGTGATGAAAGTATTTAGAATATCAGTCAAACCAATAGAGATATACAAAGTGAATCTTTAGAAAAGGAAAGGAGATAAAAGTGCAGAGTTCCTTTGCTAAATATCTCTACATTTATTGCTTGTAGTGGTTAATAGGTTTATAGATGCAGAAAGTTGAGGAATTCAGGGTAACCATATAGGGAACATGGAGGCAGGAACGTGGAACAATAGGAATTCTTGGACTGGGCAAACACAGTGATGCAGGAGTTAGGTTTAACAGTGTTTTATTTCCAGCACCTGCTTCAAGTAACATAATAATATATATTACACATGAATATCACAACATCAAAATCAAATTATATACATAATAGGAAAGAAAAGATGGAGAAGTGTAATCAAATTCAAAGAATTTTGCTTTGTTTTTGCAGGAGCATAAGATGCAGTTGCACAGTTCAGCAAAGGAAGATCATCAGAAAAGACTGAATGAATTTGAAAAATGCCATGCAGTTATAATGAATCAATTTGAAATAATAAAAGGTGCTCATGGGAAATTAGAGAAAAATGGTAAATATGTAATAAATTCTGGACATAATTTAATAAAATATAACGTAGTAATGATACTAAAGGAGAATGCTCCTGACTTTTCAAAAGAGATTTTAACTTTCCTGTCAGAAAAAAAGTCCACAAACACATTCTTCAGAATGACCTCACTCTGTGGAATATGTGAAGTAACATGACAAAGACTTGCATTTTAATATTAGTTTTTTTATTTCCAACCCCTCTCCCCTTCTGTAAGTTGTGGAAGCAATTCAACTCAATAAGAACTTGTCAGCAGTCAATACAAGACAAGAGTCTGAGATAAATAACCTAAAAAAGGTAGGTATGAAATGCATTTAGTTTATTTTAGTATTATCCCTGTTCAGTTTAAGGCATCCAAACACAGGTTGGCCTACAATCTGAACATATGGAAACCCTATTAAAATAATCAGCTCCAATAATTTGTTGTAGGTTATCAAGATTTCTCTGTCAACTCGTTGTATAATCCCTAGGAAGGCAGTGCCTACTTTTTTCTGCATCTGATCTCATCCAGTATCCCACTAAACAGAATCGATTTGTCATATATGGGGAATAATATCCTGGAGAAATACTTGGCCAAGATTTTACTAACCTAGAAACTTGTGGCATGCTATCATTAAAATAAACAGAAGCAAGTTCCATACTTCTATCTATAACACTATTCTTTATACATGTATAGAAATTGGAATTCTTGCAATATGTGAAGAACATTCCAAATTTCCTGTTGGACTTCCAATTCCTGGAAGGGGGCAAGAAATGCTGGTAGAGAAGAGAGGGATAGAGAAAGATAATAGGAGTTGTCAAAGAGCACTTGGGATACAGTGTTATGGTCCCTAGGCCAGCAAACTTGGTGGTATTGGATTGTTCAATTTTCCCTTTCAAAATCAAGCTTTTAAACTTCCCAAAGGAATCCAGCATCATATGCCCCTTCTCTATCAGCCTGTTGAGGCTATTTGTTTAAAAGATCAGGAAAAGCTAGCCTCAGAAAACTCAGGTATCCTGGGTATTGAGCTTGAGATAGATTGGGAAGGCTGAGAATCTGAAAGATCCTTAATGTCCCCAGATCCCAGCCAACCCAGTGAGAAATTTAAATCATCTCTTTTCCTGATCTAAATAATTAATCTCCTTTTGCTTGGCACCTAGAAACAAATAGCTACCACACTTTTTTTTTTGTCTAGGGGTTTAGAGTAGAATATACTATCTTCTGAATGCTCCTACCAGAGTGTAGGATTTGATGGGAGCATTGTGCTCCTGCCAATTAATTATGATTATTGTTATTGTTGACTATTGCACTTTTAATATTTTGCTATATAGTAGAATATATTACTTTTATTATGTTGTATACCATGATGAGTCTTGAAGTTATGGTAACATATAAATTTGATAAATAAATAAAAATAACTTCCTTTACTTTGTATCAGTGGTATACATAATTTGTGGCCTCAGAACTTCATGCAGTCCCTGGAAGCCTTGGGTGAGGCCCTCAGAAGCCTTTAAAAGTTGTTATCAATTAAATTTTTTAAAATGTCTGAAGAGGAAAATGATTAAATATATGCATAGAAAACATATTAATTCTACTTAATTTTCATTACAATCAAATATAACCAAAATTTAGTCAGATTTTGTTTTTGTCTTGGCTCTACCCATTACTTTTTGTAGTGCAGCCAGTGGCATCCCCAATGAAAGGTTCAAAAGATGGTGAATGTGGCCTCCTACCACAAATGCTGCTGCATGTGGCCCGTGATACAGAAAGACATAAGACAAATTATGTACTTCAGCTTCATACAAATAAGATATTTAATATTTTTTTGTAGAGCACACTATATATAATGCCTTTTAAAATGGGAAAGCCAAAACCCAGAATGACTTGAGTTCTCCAGGCAATACACTAAATACCCATGCTAGAATTAGAGCAGTTGGATGTTTCTATGTTCTTTAGTTCATCCTTTTGTAATGAAGAGAAATGTTAATAGGAACAGAGATACAATATAAATATTTTACAATTTATTTGTTACTATTCTTGTATTTATTATTATTTTGAATTTTTAACAGAACATGTAGCTTCTCAAAGTTCATTTTAGTATTGTGCTTTTTAAAATCCCTTCAGAAATTAGCTGCATTCTATGGTGAAAATAATGTATAAAGAAAAGATAATATTAATATGTTTATTTATTTTTAAATCATTTAATAATACTATTAACTCCCAACTGCTTTAAATTATGGCATACTATGAATGCCATCCTTGAGTCCAAAGGCATGGACAAATAAATTTGGAATCCCCATGAGATTCCAAATACTGCTGAGACAGGTAGATTTGTTGATTAGAAGCTTAGTTTCCACTAAATTTTCCAAAGATATTTGATTTAGCATTCAGTTCTCTCTTCCTGCTTGTTACAGTAGTTAATTGGGAGAGGCTTATCACCTTTTGAGAGTAGAAGATGCCATACCAAGAGCTATCACTTTAGAGGCAAAGGAATGATAAGCCACTACAAAAACCTTATACGTTTCTTCTAAACAGGAAAAGGAAATGTCATGTCAGCAAGTCAAGCTTTTTGACAATACTGTGTGAGGCAAGAACGAGCAGAAGGAATATCATGCTTGCTATTTTGACTCCACTGTTTTAAATTAGGTCCCTAGCATTTTTTATTTATTCTGGCTTCATTGTGTACAATTCAGCATCAGTAGTGGAGGAGAACCACAGGTTAGAAGTAGTTTTCCCTTTGTAACATCAGCTTCTGTTGGACCATGACTGAAATAATTTTTCATTAAAAAAAGTAGCTGTATTTATATGACCTGGTATTCGTAAAGTTCAGCAATTTGAATAATCTTTATTTCTATTTTCCACTGTTATATGATTTTGTCCAGAACAGTTAAACTGTTGGACTGTGATAAGGGGAATTCCATTTTTATGAAGAAAAGTTAAACAGACCAAACTTAGTTCCTCCTAGATAAAGCTACTACCATTTGAATATTTGCTTCAGTGCCATGCCATTATGAAGAATTCTTGATACTATCTACAAACAGCATTCATAACCTTTGCTATTTGTCTAAGTAAACGTCAGAGCACTCAAGGAGAGAGAGATATTAAACAGGCTACCCCATACAAAAAAAGGAAGAGTTATGGGAAAGATGCAATATTTATGACTGTAGGATCTATACTTTGTAATTTAATAAGCTCAAAGCATGTACTGTTTATTGCTGCATTAGCTGCTGTGAATAAACTAGGTAGAAAAAGGAAGGAATAAAGTAAAAGGAACGGCAAAGAATACTGTATTTTAACGCATTATAACATTTTAAAAATAAAATCTTTATAAGTATTTCATCCTTATGAGGTCAACAATTATTTATATAGATTATTAATACAATTTATATCCATTTTTATCATTAAAATTTTATTATAACTTATCATTAAAAACTCAAAATGAGCCAAATCATTAGCTTGTTGACCTTTTATCTTCTTTGATTGATTTGCTTCATTTAGATCAGGAGGTCCTGATAGAACTTTTAGTAACATAGCAATACAGTATAAAGGCATCTGTTTACCTTTTTCTAGTAGTATTCAAACAGAAAAAGAACAGTTAATATATTTTTTTCTATTTATGCACATCTAAAACAATGTAGAGAACATATTTATTTTATTTATTGATTGATCATATTTATATAGCTGCTCATCTCACAAAAAAGTGACATTGGGCAGTGTACAACACTCAATTAAAAAAACCATAAATACATATAAAACAATGATTAAAACTATAAAAACTATAAAAACACACACAACAGGAGAGGAGGATGTTAAGTGTAATAAGGGAGCCATTGCAAAATCTCCCCAGTCCCCTGGGGCCACCAGGCCTGATCACATAGCCAGGTCTTAAGGAACTTCCAGAATGTTAAGAGAGATGGGACT